ACCAAACAAGGATCTCATACATCAGAGATGGAACCAGGTGCAATGAAGAAGCAAGTATCCCCTGTCGGTCGGTCACATCCTGTGTGTTCGTCTTGTCATGATTGGGAAACGATAAAAATATTATAAGAAATTCAGACTGAGTATGTAAATAATGGTCTAACAATTGGTACGCAAAACATCAGTCAGCATTTCACTTAATGATATATTGCACCTCTTGACAATGCCATTGTATTGACTATGGACTTGCAAAATGATTGCTTTAAACGATACCGCTGATATCCTTCATTCATCAACTTGTTTGTCAATAGGTCGTAATGGTGGAAGAATTACCCGACGAATCCCTCCATATAAGGTCTAATATGACAGGCTGTGTCTAGCAGACGCCCGGCAAGATGGAAGTTGACATCAATGTTATTCTAGACTGTGGTTCCACATTGCTTCGTTTCTTAAATTACTAGTATTCGTATGAAGAGGATCTTGTGTATCAAATCAACGGGAAAACATAACGTCCACGTATGCAGGTGACAAGGGTATCTAATAACATAATTAGGGGAAGTAGACGATAGTAAAATTCAAGTCTTCCTGTTTTTCATGATTTTTTTTCTTTGTTTTTTTTTTCTTTTTGAATAACCATAAATGTTTTTTTTTCTGGTAAAATATCCAGATAAGAAACATATGTGTCATACTCTGTGGTATCTTTTATTTCAAGTTGACTAGGATATATCGAGTCGACTGATCAATTTGGAAGTATCTTTTGTTCATTCATAATACCTGGGTATTTCGCCGATATATATAAATGTTGAGCTGAAGGCCTCAACAAGTGTATTTATTTATCATATATACGTTTTTGTATAAATTTTGCTGCTTAATATGAATATAAAATGAGGTTTGCATTTATAACGGGTTGCAGTTAGTATCCCCTGATTTGCATGTACATAAAAAACATACAAATCATGAGACAAATCTGTGACATACGCGTTTATTACACGTCAGACCAAAACTACTTCTTTAACTCAAAAGCACTTTGCCGAGTCCTTACATTTATAAAAATCTTTACATTAAAAAATTAAAATTTTCATTATTTTTCCTTAGAAATTCTTTTTATAATAGAATGGACAGTATCTGTAGTATTAAACATCCTAAAATTTTTTACTTAAAAGACAAGTGTATCTTTAACAATTTCTTCAAGAGTTTCATGCTTGAAAATAAAATGTTATTGTACTTACTACAGTGTACAATTTAAATCGGGGATGGTGGTCATTTAATATATTAATGTTTAATTGCTCAAAACGACATGTGAAGAAATTTGATAACGGAAACTGTGAGACAAAATTAAAACTAAGTATCAATGACTAAACGTAAGCTTTTTAAAAAGGGTATTAAAATGCAATTCTACTCTTTACTCTTTTCACTACTACTTTGAAAATTCTTAGGAAAATATGGCAGGTATCAAATTAGATTGACTCAATGTGTACTCTTTTATTCACATGAAGCAGAGTTTGTGCAAAATCTTATGCATGAAAAGAAGAAAACACTTGCTGTGGCCTTCAACTCGACATTTAGATGCATCGATGACATATTGTCAATTAACCATGGTAATTTCCATTCTTTTGTTGATACATCCTAGTGAGATTGAGATAAAGGATACCAAAGAGTCTGTCACATCTGTTTCATATTTGGATATTTTACTTGAAAATGACGTTAATGGTAATCTAACAACTAAGCTCTATGATAAATGTGATGACATACTTTTCTATCGTCATCTTCCCTTACTTATGCAGCAATATTCTTTCATCACCTGCATACAGAGTTTATATATCTCAGTTGATTCGATATGCAAGAGCATTCTCTATGTATGAACAATTTCTAAAACGAGGTAAATTATTGACAAACAAGTTGATGAAATTAGAATTTTAGCAGTCCCGTTTTAAGTCATCATTTCGTATGTTCTATGGTCGATACATTGACCTTGTCAGCAAATACAATTTATCGTCGAGTCAAATGTTGACTGACCATTCTTATTCTAATTGTAGTCCATTATTTATACACTGCATTGACGACGGATTTTGCCGTTATTTTCCGATCATGACAAGGAGCACACGGTGGATGTGACCGGTCGGCAGGGGATGCCCACTCATCTATGGCACCTGATTCCACCTCTGATATTTTGGAGGTCCATGTTTGTTCTGCTCAATGTCTTCAAGCAGTTAGAAAAAATGTGTGGAAAACCATTTGGGACACACCGACACATATAGGACAGCTAGACAGACAGACGGACAGACAGACGCAGATGAAACATAGTTCTCTCAGGTTTCATCAATTTATTTGATTTTTAAAAATTGGTTTGACTGTAACCATAAAAATCGGATTAAAAATTTCCATGCTCATTTTTCATAAACGTACATGTATGTTAATATGTGTACATCTAGACACCATTTTGAAGAAGGGACACTTGTAGCAATGTACCAACCATTCCTCCTCAAGAATAAGTAGAGCAATGATATTTCATTGGGGGAAATTGGTTCTGGGGGAAATCGCATTCTATAACTACTAAACAGAGTAGGATTTCCCCCCGGAAAATTGACTGCAGAGTGAGATTCCTGCAGGGGAAATCTTTCTCTAGAGCCAGTTTTCCGGGGGGGGGGGGGTTCCTACTCTAGAGCCAGTTTTCCAGGGGAAAGATTTTAGGGAGAAAGGCTTCTCTACTTGACCGGTACATGAATTTTCCGAAACTGGGTCATCGCGGCAAATCTAGAACTCTTCTTTTTTTTAAAGTCAAATACATAAACATATTTATTTCCTTGTTTATTGTCCTCAACTAAAACTCAGGCTGATAGTGTGTTTATTTTTAACATGGTGTCAATATTGTTTTTCCTGTCTGTCTGCTGTACAACAATTACTATTCTCTCTCGTGTTTAAAATTCAAAAACGCAGATTGTAGGACGACATGAAAAGGGATTTTGAAGCATTTATTGGATCTAAACGACTGCTCTTTTCATTGATAAAAGAGCATATTAAAGGTACTGTAATTCCACAGGGTCATAATTCCGCGGAAACAGAATTTCTATTCAATCCGTGTTTATGAAATTAATAAATTGTGTTCGCGTACATAGCGGAAATTAATCCCACGCGGAAAAATGTACGTCTACAGTATCTTAAAAGGAGTAGTCATATACAGGCAAAAAAAATATCACAATGCAAATAAAAAAGTTTATACAAAATAATATTTGGATGAATAAAAAAATACAATTAGTTTTGTTTTAAAGAAAAATCAAATCATGCATGATTGTAGTTTGGTCGTTTGATGGTGAAAAACAAGAGATATAATAAAAAACACACACAGTGTGTGTGGTGTGTGAGGGTGTGTTTGTGTGTGTACTTTTGTAAGTATGATCAAAAATAAAGCATTAAAAAAAAAAAAAAAAAAAAACCACACACACACACATTCAAACGACAAACTAAAATCTACAGTCAAACGTGAGAAAAGTGAACTTTCTTAATGTTCAGTTAAAATTACACTTGTATTAATACATTGTTCTAGAATTTTTTTTTTTGAAATAAAAAAAAACAATAATGGGTCAAGAAAAAATCCCTTCAGTACTTTGAATCAAATGCACAAAACTATAAACGCTATGAGCTTACAAAATAAAGTTTTACATAAATGACTAGTAGTAGTGATGTTTTGAACTATATTGATTTAGAACTTACGCATACAAATAAAGCTATTTTAAAAATATTCACGATAAATATTACGATGCAAGGATTGTACATGTACAAAATTATAAATAAAACTCTGTCTGTCTGTCTCTCTCTCTCTCTCTCTCCATATTATTTTTGTGATTCACACGCATTTATAAGTTCGGAAATAGACACTTAGATTTGTTAAGTAATCAGTAGAATCTAGGCATGATAAAATGACTGTACTGATTCAATAACAAAAAAAAAAAAGAAATAAAAGAAAGATTACAAAAACGAGTGTACATGGATGACTATATTACAAAAACGGGAAGTGTCTAAAGTAGTTTTTTTCATTATCAGCTCCATGGCACTCAAAAATGAACACAGTTACACAGTTTATCATCATTTATTACATTTTTACCCGTGAAATACTGTAATTTATTCATTGAATAAAAATGATATTCTGTCACAGTGTGAAAGGATATCAAAATGATATCCTGTCACAGTGTGACAAATATCAGAAGTGCGGGGAAACTCTCGATTTCCCTTCCCATAACGAAGATTGTTGTAAAATAAATCTTCCTTGACCTAATAAAAGATAGATGGAAATAAATAAACCATTCTGACAGCGAAGAAAACTGTCAAAAAGTACCAAAAATATGTTGCTAAATCCATGTTTACAGTGTTTTCACCTCACTTAGCTATGACGTCTCAACCGCTCAACTATGATGTCATGTAGCCTATAACTGTATTACAAAAAGACAGAGTCAAAGGAAAAATCAAAGATTTTGTTTTAAAAATGTAATAAACAGAAAACTCAATGTTTTGTTGTTGAATATGGAATTTATTTCACTCGTGAGACAGAATTTTTTTTTTATATTTTCACTCGTGCTTCGCACTCATGAAAATATCAAAAACCTTGTCTAACTCGTGAAATAAATTCCATATTCAACTGCAAAACATTGAATATCCTCTATATATCTTATCATACGGATTTTCTAACGAGACGCTCAACTTTCTTAGTATCTCAGAAAACTTTAACTTAGAACACATTATAATTGTCATCCATGTACACTCGTACTTAGACCTTTATAAGTACTATATGTGAGTATTACTCAATCAATTGTCAAGATCAGAAGCTGGATTTATAATGCTGAAAAAATACCATGTTGACTAGTCTTCTAAAACATAAAGATATGAAATACAGAAAAATTAATACGTTATATTAATTTCGGAAATTTCGGAATTATTACATTCTCAATATTCTTTGTATTCAATGATTTTAAAAATGTCCCAAAAATTTCAACTTGGTGTTATCGGCATTCTGTTTGGAGCTGGGCTAAGTTTTTGCTTCGTTTCAAATCAACGTTATAAACCCAATCACAGAAACAGTTATTATTATTATGATCATCGTCTGCATTTTAGTCTGGGTAAGGGCAGAGGAACAAATCGGTGGTTCGTAGCCTGGTTTACAGCCATTTTGACAGTGACCATCACTACGACGGCATGACAAATCATCATGACAGTTTAAGCTGCAGTTTTTTTCACATAATTCCCCATATTTTCCTGGAATGCAGTCTACACAAAGTCCATTTGTTTTCTTGCATCTGGACTTTTTGCAATTTTCACGACACGGTTTCTCGCAATCTTTACCGTATCGTCCTGATACACAAACTTCGCAGATACCACTGTTTCTGTCACAAACGGCACAAAAAGGAGAAGAACAGTTTTTGCTACAGTGTTTTCCAAATAATCCTTTAGCACACTTTAAACATGTACCAGAAGCGTCGCAACCAGTTTTTCCACATGGCCCTTTGCATGTACATTTATCACCATACCAGTCCTTCTTACAATCAAGGCAGTTTCCGCTGTTCCTTTCGCAATTTCTTTCAGAGCAATTTTCAGAACAATTTCTTAAGCACTTTTTACCATAACGACCAATAGAACAATTTTGACAAATTCCATTTTCTAGACAGCCATTTTTATCGCAATATCCTACGCACGCACATGTATCACCAAACCAGCTTGGCTTACAGGCTAAACATGTTCCATTTTCTCGATGACACCCGTTTGCACAGTTTTCAGGACAGGCCTGATTGCACGTTTCACCATACCACCCTGGTTTGCACTTATTACATTTTCCAGTGTCCCAATTGCAACCATTCGCACAATGCTTTGGACAACTTATATTGCAGTTTGGCCCGTACCAATTAAGCTTACAACTATTGCATTTGCCATTATTTTCACATAAATTATCCATACAATGTCCAAAACATTCACAATTTTGCCCAAACCATCCATCTTCACATGCATTGCAAAAGCCATTTTGTGAACACTTAAGTCCAGCACAATGCTTTGGACAACTATTTAAGCAAAGATCTCCAGAATAACCACCATCACAAGCAACACAGCGACCATCTATGTCGCATCCGTTAGAGTCACAATGACCAGTACATTTACATCTATTTCCAAAGAATCCAGCCTTGCACTCATGGCAAAATCCTGTCTCTCGCGCACATCCTTTAGAATTACAGTTTATCGGACAGGAACGTTTACATTTTGTCCCATACCATCCGCGATCGCAGTTTATGCAAATTCCGGAATCCGTGTTACAACCATGGTCATTACAATGACCACTGCAGGAACATTGCTTTCTTTCTACAAACCACTGTGGCTTACAATGATTACAGGAACTGTCATCCCGACTGCATCCAGAATCGTCACAGTTTGGAGGGCACCTCTCTGTACACTTCTCACCGTGGTAACCACTTTGACATTCGTGACATAGACCTGTTGAAACTTCACATTCGCGGTCTCCGCACATGCCAGTGCAGTAACATTGCTGTCCATACCAATCTTTCTGGCATTTATTGCAATTCCCTGTACTTCGTACACATCCGCCTTTGCAGTTCCCTGGACAGTCTTTATCACAAAATTCCCCAAATGTTCCGTCAGTACAGTTAATACAAATCCCATTGGCGTCACATTGATTCTCTTTCAGACATTTCCCTCTGCATTGACAACGATCACCGGTCCAATCACCCAAACATTCAAAGCAATCCCCTGTATCTTTGGAGCAATTTTGAGATAAACAGTTTTGGGGGCATGTGTTTTCACAAAATGAACCAAAATATCCTGATAAACATGCATGGCAAGATCCACTGACTTTATCGCAACCGTTAACATCACAAGTGTCTGAACACTTTTTGTCACATTGCTCTCCGTAATATCCAGGACTACAGCGATCACAAGTTCCACTATTTCTATCGCACTGTCCTCCGACACAATTTGAAGAACATTTAAGAGTGCACAAGGGACCATGGAATCCATATTGACACGTGTTACAAACACCACTCTCGTCACAGCCATCGTCCAGGTCCCCAGAGGTCATGCAATGTCCTCTGCATGAACATGTCTCTCGAAACATATTGTCTGCACAATGGATACACTTCCCGCTTTGCCTGTTACATCCCTCTCTATCACAGTTATTGGGACACCTGGTTTTACATTCTTCGCCATAATAACCATTCAAACAGTTTTTACATTTATTACTTTCGCTGCTACATCCAGTTTCATCACAAAAATAACCCTCTCTATCACAATAGCAATTACTTCCAAACCATCCAGAGTCGCATCCATTTTGACAAGCCCCTGTAATATTATTGCAATGCCGAATGTCTTTTCTATAAAAATGATCATATTTGGTCATACAGTTTATTCCACATTCTTCTTGGCAGGTTTTACCAATCCATCCTGGTTCACAGCCCAGTGAGCAGACTCCGTTGTCTGGGTTACAAGGACGTATTGCCGCTGCGAAATTTTCTTCACATCCGATGCTACAATTTTTATCACACTGAATACCATAGTACCCGCTTTTTACATCGCATCCGAAGAAACAAACGCCTGATTCCCGGTCACAATGCCTCCCCCATTGTCCCCCCTTATCGCCATATATACACCCGCGGCCACAATCCATGTCGCAAGTTCCTCCATACTTCCCTGCCTCGCATTCGGAACATCTACCTGTTTTTCTGTCACAGTGCCGGGCGGCTTCACCATTGACGGTTAACAACAGACATTTTCTGTTACATTCGTTAACGCACTGGTCACCATACCATCCCCCAACACATGTGACGCATTCATTGGTAGATAAATCACATTCCTTACACAAGACAGAACATGTCGAATCTGAAAAGGTAGAAAAAACAACAGAATCTTATAAATTATTAAACAAAAAGAAGGCTCGCTAAAACGCACACCATGATGCATAGAATTTTGTACATCTCTTCTGGGTTTTTTAAAATTCTAATCATCATTTCATTTGCCTTTGTTGCTAACTAAAAACAATGAAACTTAAGTGGATAAAAATGGAATACAGCCTCAAACATCCCAATGCCTCCAAAAAATAGTTTCGTCCAATTACTTTTATAAAAGTTGTGGTAAATGTACACTTGCAATCATCTCAAAAGGCCGGTATACACGGTAAGATTTGTATTATAAGATTGTTTTATAATACAAAATCTTATTGTATATACACTCTTAATACAGTGTATCATAAGACTTTTTGAATCTTATAAAACTGTATTAAGAATAGAGCAATGCTCTATTTTCTAATACAAGTCTTAACTTACCTTACACTTTCAACCAATGAAATGTACCCGACAATAGGGGTCGTCCAATTTTTATCATTACTTTAAAAAAAAGTACATCGTAAATAATAATGACCGACTTTACAAGAAAAAACATTGAAAAACTCGTGGTTTTATGGGAAGGGGAAGGGGACTTGTGGAATATATCGAGCATAGTACGATGATAGACACTGCTATCTCATCCTCTATTCTTATTATTTTGACAGAGAGAGAAATATGGCGGGGAAAACGCGTTGGAATACGTAGTTTAATTATTAACAATCTTATAAGATATGTAATATCGTGAGTACAAGAAAGTTTTATAATACTTGTATTATACTACAAATCTCATCGTGTATACCAGCCTTAACATATGCAGAATATGTATACATGTATAAACATGTACATGTATCCTAATGCTGTTATTAGGATGCGTGAAAACTAACATGACGTATTATGTATAGCTTTTCACGAGTAGTGTTAAGCATTCCTATTTGTAACATGTAAACTTATTCATAATAGATAAAAATTGTAGCAAGTAAATGATTTTTTTTTTCTTTAGAACACTGACAATGTCATTTCTATGAACCCGTGTAAATTGCAATAAAAACTGCAAGAATGTGAAGGGTCATGTCTCTTTCCGAGAAAAGAAAATCAAGAAAAGGGCAAAGATTTTATGAAAAAATTGGGCTTCAAGATCCGTTTTCTGTAAAAATGCCCGTGAGCATTCAAGAATGGGCAGATACCAATTTGAAAAACATTACGGTCATTCATGATTTACTATGATTTACGAAGACAGAAATATAGATATAAAATATAATCCTGGTTATTGACAATTGATTTATTTTTAGTTCTGACAATTATAATCAAGGAAGGATGAGATCTTTTGGCAATTGTTGACTAACATGCAGTACCAGCATTTTATCTATAAAATCTTTTTTATCTTTATAGAGAATGTTAAATGAGGACAGAATTAATCTAGTGATATTTTGTTCCAAGTCTAGCTTCCCTCATAATACATATAAATAAACGAAAGAAAATCAAAATTAAAAAGAAAATATATGTTTAAATTCTTTTTAGGTTAATATTGCAAAAATACATTTTAGATTTTAATAGTCAGGAAGACTCGTAAATTAAAGATTATTATAAATTATATATACATAGAATGTATGTACATTAAATTCTATTCAATAAATAAGAGAGTCAATTACCTAGGTGTCTTTCACGAAAGATGTATACTAGTGCTTGCCTGACTTAATCAATCAATATCTGTAAGAGAAGCAGGCACGTAGCATCGACAAGCAAAAAAAAAAAAAAAAAACGGCAAATTTTTATTGCCCAACCTCGAAATTCCTATTTCGTGTGTGTGTGGGGGGGGGGGGGGGGGGATAGTAGCCAACTTTTTTCAGCAAACTTCCTTTAACTTCCAGTTTTTTCCTATATTTCCTTGCTATGAATGCACTGCGGTTAAAAGTGGGGGGGGGGGGGGGGGGCAACCATCTTTTCAATGGACATTTCCTATAGTTAAGGTAATGTTTGCAAATTCTTTCAAGGGGGGGCAGGCCCCCCCCCCCCCTGGCCCCCCCTGGCTACGTGCCTGAGAAGTGATAAACCTTTTGAGCAAAACTTTTTTGTGTTTGAAATATGTCTTTTTATTTGAGAAACTTTTTTGAGAAAAAAAAATTTAATTATTTAACTTGTAGAAGAACGATGCCTTTGCTGCATTCTGAAGAGTTGTTAACAGAATGGTTAATGTATGTGGGTTTTCTGCCAATCGCAACTCCTCGGGCCTTATCTAGGGAAGAAGACCAAAAATGTATTGTTAATTTATACGCCACGAGACTCCCCCCCCCCCCTTTTTTCACAAACTTTGAAATGAAAGCATGGATGATGTATATAGACCTATTATCTGTGGAATATGGAGTTAACTTTTTTCAATGTAATGATATTATCTAAAATATACTATAGAAGGGACTTCTAACTCCGTTTTTACTATGAACAGGAAATGTAGAAATTTTTAACATCCGATGATGTCGATATATTCGAGTTTGTTTTATGACCTCTGACGAAAAGACCCGAGATGATGCAATTGACTTTTCCGTGCAAGTAGATTGATCTACCCCTGGATCTAAATTTAAACCTACATCTATTCTGAAATCTGTTGTCAAATCATTCATTGTGAACATTTTAGAGAATGGATATAACTAAATACATATGTTGTAGGAAAGTATTTTCTCCAATGAAGTAAACAGTAGTAGTTTGTGTTCATTGATCTTTTTTTTCTGAAAGGTGGGTACTATAATTTTTTGAGAACGAAATAGTTAAAACCAACATTAAGGCCTTTGTGGAAAAGAAATCCAAAATTTCGCACAGGTAATTTCTTTCGTCAGATCGTCTGGAATCTGGTTGAACTGCGTCGATCGTTTGTGGTGATTGGACTAGTCCATTAAAATTTGGAATAAACCAACAGAGGGGAAACAAATTGGAGAAATCATTTCTTTTGTTTTGCATGTCCATATTCTGATACATATGATTCATATATTGCTTTAAGGAATAAGATAAAATTTGTAGAGAGAATTTCTGAATCATAAGAAGATGGAGGTTACAATAACACTTTATTTAATTCCATGGAAGTTAGCATCCCCATTCATACAATAGAACAATCCAAGAAAAGGCGCGAATATCGCTTACTCGTTTTGGCGCGAAAAGAGCGATTCACCCCTTTCGTAGAATATAAATTGACTGATCCAGTAGTATAGAAATGGAGAAAAAAAGATACACGGACACGTTGAAACGGTAAATCACATGGAATAATATGTTTCATGCAAACAGAGTAAACAAAGTAAATACTGCATTATTTTGCATCAGTAAAATCATTATTTCCCTGAAAAATGTTTCTTTTAAAATAAAATGCAGGTAAAAGATTTCCAATGTAAATCAGCTTGCACAAAATCTAGCTCTCTGGGTATGATCTATTAGTTTCGGATCAAGCAATTATCAATCCTTATACAGCCTGACGCCGTGACGTCAGGCAATAAAGCTTCAGAAACTCCCTGAGTTTATACTGAATATAAGATAAACTTATTTGATGATAGGAAATCATCCTATTTATTTTATTTTAAGCTTCAGTGTATACATGTATATCAGAGGGTTATATTATACTCTGTTGCCCTAAAGCCGTTTGGGTCCTTTGTTAATTAATAAATCTTGAGAAAAATTATAAATGCACCTGTATCCTTACATTCATTTTTTTTGTCGCTACTTTATGTATTTATTTTATGTAGTTAAAGCTTTCTCTGGTTCTTAGAATTGTATCGTATAATAATTCATATATTTAGCTCTTATATTTAATACTTTATTTACCTTCTAACGGTCCAAAACAGTCCTGTATATAGTTTTGTAATCTCATTTTAAAAGAGTACCCTTTTGACGTCCGTAACCACAAACAGCCATTTGTTAGCGTTTAGAGGTAAGTAAATGGAAGTTAAATGTATGAATAATTATTAAATACCACTTATAATTAATATCAAAGCTGGGGAAGTATAAAATGCAAGAAAAAATACCCGTAGTGAGCGACAAAAAAATCGTCGGCGTTAATCGATGGTTTTTATAACGCTTGGATCTGTAGCTCTCTGCTTTATCTATCCGAATTTCCTCAAGCAGAGAGCTACAGTTCTGTAGCTACATTTCTACGGTCCCGATCAGACACAATGGGCAAATGAACTAAACAAAGAAACAATGAAACACAGAGATGAGTTAACTCAAACACATTTTAAAGGAAACAAAAACATTTATACATACCACAAGTTCCGAAATAATTAACCAGAATGAAAGAGCATGCGACTAAAACGAAGGTGACTGAATCCATTTGTCTGTTCCACAGCTTCAGTTTCTTTTCCCAAATTTCAAGCCATCTATATTCAGTTTCACATTAAATTAATCAGAAAAATATAACGTTTTCCTGTTTTGTCAGGAGCACTAGTTCAAAGTAAGGAAATCCGTTCTAGGTCTTCAATCTAAATTGCATAAATTACAGTCAGTTTGTAATGATTGGTGTCTGGAAGTAAATGTAACAAAAATCAAAATTCTGATACTTAATAAAGGGGTCGTTTGATAAAAAAAAGAATTTAAGCTGTTTGACCAGGTGTTGGAATCTGTGTCTTCTTATAGATATTTGGGGATACTCTTTAGTGCCTCTGGAATCTTTTCATATGCTCAGGAAGACCTGTATAAAAAGCTTTAAAGGCATATTTTATAAACTGCAAAAAAGAATTTTTGTCATTGAACACAAGTGTTAAAACATTCCTTCATGTATTTGATCATACAATAAAACCCATTTTGCTTTATGGATGTGGAATATGGGGGAACATTAATCGACCAAGTATTTTCCTTAAAACCTCCAAACTCTCAGTATTCATACATTGTATTTTTAATAAGTTGAAGTGCGAGAATCTTCAATTAAAATTTTGTAAGAATATATTGGGAATGCATAGGAAAAGCGCAAACTTCTCCTCATTATTTGAGCTTGGTAGGCTTCCCCTTCTTTTTGATATTATAAAA